GTACTCCGTGAACAATCGCGTCCGCGACCTCCATCTTGATCACTAGTGCGTCCCTATGTGGTGGGGACATGGGGCGAAATCATCATCTGTGAAAGTTATAGACTCACGTTTTTGCTTTTTGTCGGCGGGAAGATGGCTGATCTCGCCGACGAACAGCTGGCGGTTCCATTTCTTTCTCTCCCCCGCTGTATCCCCTCCCACAGGTCCGCCGTAGATCTGGTTGACGTGTGGTCGTTTCTGTCTGCCGGTGTCTTCTCCTTCATCGTCGTCTTCAAATTGGGCCCCAACCTCCCTTTTCTTTGAGGACGAGGTCGGCGCGTCCTTCTCCCTATTCCAGGTAAGTTTCTTTGGTGGCAGTTGTCCTTGTTGAGCTCGCTTCACGAACTGCTCCAGTTGACCCTCTCGCGCGAGTTTTTCTACGTACTTCTTCAGAATGTAGCAATCGTCGGTCTGATGAGAGTCGGTTTTGTGGATTTTGCAGTATTTGTTTTTGGGGTTCTGGTTATGGATGACATTGCATCCCTCAGGGGTGGCGATCAACCCCTGCTTCGCAGCGTAATCTAGGACAGTGCTCACCTGATGCGCAGAAGGAGAGAAATCTGGATGGTTGGCCAGGGGGCCCTCAGGAACACTTGATTTGAACTTTCCCCAACCTTCTTCTTCTTCCTTTGTCGGAATCAAGGGTTTCCTTTTCAAGGGACTTCTTCTTTTCTCCCTCAGGTTGGCGTTTCCCGGTCTCTTCTTCTCTCTTTTTCTTCTCAGCTTCTTCTACTCCGGCTTGCACATTTGCTCGCTGCAGGGCCACCTCGTGTGAGATCGGAGGGTTTCAAACAAAGTCCTTATATAACTCGCCCGATCTCAGGGCATTGGTGAGTATCGCGACCGCGGACGTGTCATCCCGGTCATCTATCTTTATGGATTCGTCCCTCCACCGGATCAAGAAATCAGCCAAACCCTCCTGGGGTCCATGTTTGATCCCCAAGAGGTGAGAAAAATTCTTCTTGGAATCCTTAGAGCTGACGAACCGGGTCACAAAAGCATGGGCCAACTCCCTGAAATTCCGGATCCTCCCGTTAGGTAAGGAATTGTACCACTCCCGGGCTTGTTCGTCGAGCGTTACCAAAAATCCCCTACATTTGATGGCATCCTCATACCCCTATCATAACAATATACGCCATGTATCTGGAAACATGGTGCTGTGGGTCTGTTTTTTCCCGGTAGGCCTCTATATTGCAAGGCTTGTATCCTTAGGGTAGCGGGGCATCCATGATCCGACGAATGAACGGTTCGGGAATCCTTACTTCATGGTTAGGGTTGATCCTTGCGTCCACCTCCTTTCGGAGCTCGTCCAGCCTCCTCCTGAGATCATCATTGCCCTGGCCTGCTTGCTGTCGGGGTGGGGATTGTCGATGCTCGTGGCCCTGCTGGTTGGCGTTGATCTCGTTTCTGAGATCTCCCTCACGCACACTTCGGCGATGGGATGAAACAGCCGCGGATGACGCTTCCACACTCGGCTCAGGCCGGGATGAGATCCTGTCATGCACGAAGACCCTTTGCTCACCAATTCGGTCCATCATCGAGGTTCTCAGGGTCTGCCAGGAACGATGGGAACGCTGAGATCGAGAGGGCGGAGAGCCCCTCCTGGAGTGCTCATGCCCCCTTCCTCCTGTCGGGACACGGATGGTGCCCGACGAGGTGAAGGGACCTCGCACCCTCATTGGGGATGATGCCTTGGAAAGCAGTGGTCAGAGTCTTCACTGCCCTTTGGAACGTCGCCAAACTGGCTAAGGCCTGAGCCGGATCAATATTGGGGATACGATTCCCTATGCCAGACGTCTGAAACTGCGGCGGTCGTGTTGCTGCCCGTCTAGAACTTCCAACACCGTGGAGGTGATTCCTCAGATCCTCCTGTCCCGCCGTGTTGTCGTGACGCCTTCGAAAATCACTCCGCCATGACCGAGAGCCTTCGTCTTCGATCACCACTTGGTCGTGACGGTTACCGCCCGGATTGCTGCCCACACGGTTGTGGCTATGGAATCCCACCATGGTTCGTCGTAGATCGAACTCTCACGAGAGCACCAAATGATGGAGTTTAATCCAACAACAAGAGTTAAATCTACGGGAGCAGATGATAATTTGGCAGCGTAAGGTAGTGTTTTATTGATCAATGTTTCGATCCCCCTTTCGGAGGTTTACAAGTCCAATTTATAGGCTAAGGAACTAGTGTTACAAAAGAAAACTCATACAATAAATGTTATTCATTATGCATTAGTTCGAATAGGACTCTTGTAACGTCTTGACCGTTGTGCAATGATTGTTCCTTTATTCCCACGTTCCAGCCGTTTAACTCCTGCTAGCTGCCGTTTAAATGATAGCATGTCACGTCAGCCCCAGGGATATCACAGCCTCACTAGAACTCCGCCCAGGCTCGAGACGTGCTTTCCAGCCTGCATGGCTGTGGGTTCCTCTCACGGGCTTGGTCCCTAGTTAGGCTCAGTGATTATCTAGCATTGATCCCGTTAATTAGGCTAATTCCCGTAGAGGGGTTAATCCCGTCATGGACTGGATTGTGTAATTGGGCCATGGTCGGAATCCAAGGTACCATCAGTAGTCATATTTTTATCGGGGAAAGCTATGCTAATAATATACTACGCACATGTCATTTTTTCAAATGATTTTATCGTTAATGTAATAATCCAATAAAATTTTAAGAAAAATCATAATGAAATTTAATTTTCTCATATGATGTCTAATATTTTTTTGAGATTTTCTCTATAATATTAGTAAAAAAAATGTTTGAAATTGCTTCATTCGGTACATAACTTCACTGTCTCCATAGTAATTATGGTATACAGTTAAACATAACCCATAGTCACTAAATTCACTAAGAGCCCGTTTAGTAACCTTGTTTTTCAGCTTATAAGGTTTATCAACCAACTTTTTCACCAAACACATAATTTTTTATTTTGCGCACTGAATTGTGTAATACGGAGTACGAGTAATAAGAAAAAATAAGGTTATAGTTACTTTTCTGCCTGTATTGGCTGAAGTTACCGTAGATGCTCATTTTAGATATTATTCATATATTTTTTTCTATATTTTATTAACAAAATACTCCGATTCAGTCGATTGGAGTATATTTTAAATATTTTAATGGCTTAAGTTACTGTATTGCCTGTATTGGAGTATATTTTAAATATACTTGTTGCATAAATCAGCAAAAACAGCCTATACGACCAGTTCAGCTAGAATTTCATAAATTTCAACAGAATAGGCCGATTCAGTCGATTTCAATATTACCAAACGGGCTCTAATATTATTAATTTGTATAAAAGGCCACATACTCATATTTTATACATGCTGTTAATCAAACATGTTTTTATAGGAACTTGTTTAAGAGTTTTGATTACACTGTCATTTAAGCGATCAACAAACACTTCGTTTGGGGTGGTTAAGAGTTGTTATACTTGAATAATATGGTTTATATTACGGAGTATATAATAAATTAAGCTAGCCATTCGCCCATACCAATATGCTAACCATTTCTCATACTCCCTCCGTCCTAATTTGATTTGCAAAATTTCTTATTTTGGTTGTTCCAAAATGGTACGGTTTTCCACTTTCTATTTTATGTATGTAAATAAGAATAAATGGACAAATTTATCCTTACTTTTACTTTTTTTCCATTAACTAAAAGGCATCTACTTTTAGAAAGATGGGCAAAAGTGTAAAAAGCAAGCATTCCTTAATCCTTGTGCCGATCAAAATTTGCAATGCAATTGAGTTAGTATTCAAAAAATCAAACTTACAAACTAAAGGACACTCGACACATAAATGGGAAATTTGTGTGTGCAGTGTACACTATACAAGAAGCTAGGGGACAAACCGTCCCAAATATGTTTAAAAATCTCAAAAAAGTTTGTCATATTAATTAATATTCTTGCTTCACGATGACAAAATTTTGACAATGATTTTAGTTATTACGTAGTATATTAATTTGTAATTTAAAAAAATTATACTTTATTAAAAAGTATCTTTAATAAATACTGTAGTATTTTAATATAATTTCTAAAAAATACATTCATATTAATTAAAAGATATTATTGGTCAAATTTAAGCCTTTAAGAAAAGTCAATTCGACAAATTCTTTGAAACAGAAGGGAATATATGAATAGTTGAATACTACTTCTGCATTTTAAAGTATTACATTTTCATTTGTTGGATGTATTTAAGAGTTTGCTACATTTTTACTGTCTGCACATTTTTCGTTTTGGGTTATATTTAAAAGTTCTCTATACTTTCGCATTAAGGAAAGTTTTATCTATGAAAATACATTATTATCCTTATCTTTTTACCCACATTCAATTATATCTTACCTCACTACTCTTACTGGTGGGCGTAGCTCAACTGGTAGCAAGGGAGTGCCACAAGAGTTAGGTCCCGGGTTCGAATCCCGGCAACTGCGATGAGGGTTATTATGCTAAAAATGCATACGGCCTCTGCAAGTACCGGGAACAGAGCCTCACTCTGTATCTATCAGATTGGGATTATAGTCAAATTTACATCCCCCCAACACACTCCCATAATCCAGGTGTCGGGGCTTACGCTCCCATAATCCTGGAATCTATGAACTACCCTCCAAAGCCTCTAGACAGTTAAATCCGGGTCCGATCACAGTCAGCCTCGTCAGTACTGGCTCCAAAAGACGAATCATTGGGAGCAAAACCTCCCTCATTACCATCCTCTCCCTTCTCAGGCGCTGAGCAACTCCGTGAAGGTAGGAAGAATCATTAGGAGCAAGACATCTCTCATCTCCATTGGTGGGAATTGAACCCAAGACCTCCTACAAAGGAGAGACTTGGAGGTGGATGATAATCCATTGAACTACACTCACATTCCCTTACTTTATACTTTATCACTATGTAAGGAACTTTAAAATACCGAGGGTGTATTTTTTAAACTATTCGTGATTCCTAATATTTCATTCTTAAATAATGTGCAGAAACCTATTGCAATGAACTTTTAAATATAGATCGGTATTTTTTATCTGCCAATACATTTTTCTTTTTGAGAATTTACCGGCCAATGTATTACATGTATTCCATTGCAATTAAATGGAAATGTTTTATTTCACGGGAAAAAGAATGTACAAATGTAATACTCCGTAATATACATAACTTATATGGAAAAGGTCGTGTATCCGGCGGGGAGGAACACGCAATGAGAACCAGCTCCGGCGGCTTTGCCGCCGTGTAAATGTTATTTAATGATCGGAACTGCAAAAAAGAATCAACAAGCGTAGAACCCGACTAGCTCGTTCAGGGATTCCGGTTGGGGATCTGCATTCTCCAGCATCCATAGGAAGTGTTCGAACAGCACTACTTCGCACCCCACAGTGATTGACTCGCCGGACTGCACTGCCAGTTCACGGAACAGCGGGTGTTCGATAATGTCGGCGCCGACCAAGTAGCGGCGGCGCGATTTTCCGACGTAGACCGTGTGGAGGTCCTTGGAGGACGGCGAACAGCTGTAAGCGGCGGGGAAGGACGTCGACCCGTCGAATTCCGAGAAGGAGTTGCTGGCGGCGGCGGCGATGGAACTTCCGCCGTTCCCACGGCTGAGCTTGAATGACTGCATTTTCTTGAGGACAGATTTGATCTTTGTGAGCTTTCCGCCTTTGGCCATGATGGTAGTGAGAGAGAGGTTTAATTCAGGTGTGGGAAGAAAGAGAAAGGAAAGGCTGTATATATAATAATGTAAAGATCAAAGCTAGCAGAGGTGGGATATCAGATATGGGTAAATTGGGAATATCACTTTTTGTAGCAATCAGGTGGGCCCATGCATGCAGGTCTTGAGATAGTTGCACAAAAGGACAAGGCCATTCCAGCTGCTGGTTTTTGCTTATTATTACTAACTAAGTCTCTAAAAATACTTCTCCGTTTGACTTGACACGCTTATTAAGAAAGTTAAATAAGTGGGAATGTCTGACTGTGGTTGTGTAAGAAAAAGGTGAAATGAATTTGAACTACACAAATTGTCCAAAAATGATAAGTGAAAAGAATTTTTTGAAACATCCCAAAAAGGAAAGTGAGAAAAATTTTAAGGAACGGAGAGAGTATTACCCGTTAAGCTTATGATGAAATGTAGGAACCCCACACATGACTTAAATATGCTCCTCATTAATTTGTCATGAAGAACATGTTTTTTGTGTATTCATTTGCTCTTAGATGAAAACTATTAATGAGTATTTATTGACCATATTTGAGGAAAATGTCTACCATTTTGATACCACTTCGAATTTATGCTGTTGAAAGACGTATGGTACAAATAGACATGGAGATTTCCCAAATTTGAAATTTGAAAATAGGAATATTGTTATAGTTGAGTCCGAAAAACTGAAAATCAAAAACCGGATCAAAATAAATCGAACCACAACCAAACTCAATCGAACCGCAAAGAAACTGAAACTGAATGTAAAAACCCGAACCGAACCGTAGTTTTGCGGTTCGGTTTTGGTTTTGTTCCTTCAAAACCGAACCGAACCGAATAAACCAAACTAATTAAAATATGAAGTTTTATTTATTACTCCTAATCTGGTTGTGCGGAGTAACTGTTAAGCACTGATCATAATATTATTGACAGTGTTTGTGTTTTTGTGCGAGAAAATTAATATTTGTGTTATACGTATTATACATTTCTTATTAAATGGTAAGTTATTATATTTGTGGTTTAGTTTAGTTTATGAATACATTTACACTTTCATTCCCAATAATAATATTGCTATATTGATATATTATGTCTTTTATGTATATATGTATTTTGTAGTTTGTTGGATAATGGTGATATTTTTTTGGTGTTTATTACTAGAAACTTTAATTTTTATGCAACATAAATTTTCTGTATTGACAAAATAAATAAATATTCATCTCAATTATGCCTCTTAGAACATATATATTCATTAACTTTTTTCAAACTAGCCACAAAAATGTAAAATAATAATATATACACTTTTATTCAAAAAAAACTAGATGTTTACTCTCACACATACTCATATTATTCAAGACATAATTTTTCTTTCTCTTTCTTGTTTTGTTTTATTTGTTCTAGCATGCTTGCATTCTTTTATGTAATATGTTTGTTTCCCTCCAACAATTGTATCATTTCAAATCAAATGATATTTTTTGATCAAAAACCGAAAAACTGAAACCAAACCGAAACAAACCAAACCAATCAACCCGTGGTTTCAAGTTTTGAAATGCAAAACCGAACCAAACTTTTTACTTTGATTCAGCATTTGGTTTTAGGGCAAAACCGAACCGAACAAACCTAACTCACCCCTAAGAGCATCTCCAATGCAAAAACGTGAATGATGCATACGTGGCACGAGAGATAGCCAATTAAAAATAACGAAGAGAATATCTCTCTCCTTATTTGAACGGTCTTATATATTTTTGGTAAGGTTTTCTTTGCAATGTCAAACACAATGTCTTGATGTAGACATTGTGGTTGACATTGTTGAGAAAAACACCAAAAACACACAAAAACGTGGAAAGAAGGAGGAAGAAATGTCATAATTTTTTTTTTTTGTTTATATCTCTCATGCCACATGTGCACCGTGCACATTGTAGCATTGTAGATGCTCTAAATAATGTATGTTTTCCAAAACATGAAGATATTATTGTTATTCTGAAATCATAGTTTCATACTTTCATATTTTGGTAGTTTAGTTCAAAACATTTGGCAGTTTTCCAGAAGAAATGTCAAGCTAACACCACCAAATTATTTATATCTGAAAATTTCAAAAGTAACTACCATATCTAAAATGAAAACATTTTTCCAAACATACAAGTAGAAAGGTAGTATTGAATAACATGGTCGTAAAATTGGCAATTTTTTAATCCGATCGATGTCAAAACACAAGAGTTTTTACAATTGCTGGAAATACACGAATCAGCCATAAATTTTGCAAATATGAAACCAATTTCAAAAATCCAAAAAATAGAATTTTAATGATAACAGCAACTTTAATGAAATCATAAGCAGAAATATAAAACCAGTGTTAAAAAATTAGAAACATCGATGCAATTGAAAATAATAAAATCGGGGGATGAAAAGCAAAGATTGAAAAGCAAGACGACGATGATGGAAGCAGATACAACGAGTAAATATGGCAAACCGGAAGCGGTAAGAGTAGAGACTCTAGCAGCAAAGTGAGGTGGCGGGCAAGAGAGATAAGTGAGACGCAAGGAGACACAGGAAAAAAAAATAGAATATTATTGAAAAAAAATCACGAAATTTTTTACATTAAAAATATTCACATTTTTTAAATTTGGGGTGGATCAAGACCTAATTTGGAAACCCCTAAGTCCGCCCCTGGACGCACATAAAGAGACATACTGAGGAGCGATAGACATATCGTCCTATTAGTACATTTTAATTAAGTTTCAGTCCTTTTTAGATTAATTACAAATTCGATTATCTAATGTTTAAGTAGCTGGTCTGTATAACTGTTATATACTACTACGTATAAATTTTTAAGTAATCGTCCAAAGTAGGACTAAAACATAATGAAAATTCACTATAGGACCTTAATTTTTTTATTCCTTAAATAGGACTATATTAGTCCTATGTAAAAACATAATACAATTTCATACCCTTAATACCCTTCTTTTAATTAATTCCTAAAATTCATTAATTTACATCATAATCTCTCTCCTTGCACGGTCAATTAGCTTTCTCCTTGTGCGTTGAAATAGATCGACTTCTCCGGTTCTCCCCTACAACTTCTCTTCGTGCATCGCAGCCACCGTCGACTCTCTCGCCTCAAGCCGTTGTCGTCACTACCGACTTCGCCACGCGCCGTCACAGGTTTCTTCTTCTTCTTCTTCTTCTTTGATCTTCCTCTCTTCTTCTTCTTCTTCTTCTCCTTCTCTTCTTCTTCTTCATCATCTTCTTCTTCTTCCTCCTCTTCTCCGATCTCCTCCTCCTTCCCCTCCTTCTTCTCATATTCCTCTATTTAAATGAGATTTGTCACTGATTTTTCTAGTTTTCCTCATATTGTTACATTTTCCTGGGTTTTGATACTGATTTTGTCAATTTTAGGATTTTTTTTTTGTATTTTCTGACTTTTTGTTTCAGATTTCTTAGTTTTTTAAATAGTTCTAATTATCCAAAAGTTTAAATGATGACTTCAGATTTTGCCAAGTTTATGGCAGAAATGTGTACACCAACAACCATATAATGACAAAAACGCTTTTGTGTAAATCGATTTTGCTAATTTTTTGTCATTCGCCTCGTATATTTAATTTTTGATTATGTTATGGTGCTTATTTCATTTTTTTGAAATTTTGGTTATTGACTTCATTTTTTGCCAAATTAATGACAGTTTCGTGTAAAACTCCAAGATAAATCTGCCAACTTTATGGCAGATATGAAAAACCTTATTGATGGTAGATTTCAAATACTCTTGAACGTTAAATCTTCCGACGTAATGGCAGATGTATGGCATCAAAGCTGTGATAACGGCGGCGGTGCTCGAAGGTGGGGTGGTGGTGCACCAGAGATGGCGGAGGATGGTGACGGCGACAAATTGCAACGCTGGTTCGGCTACACCACTCGGCGGTGATGGATGGTGGCACTAGGGAGGGGTTAAATTGGTGGTTGAACATTGCATGATGTTTGCCTTTTTTTCGGAAACTGTCGTCTAAACTAATTAATTAAAAACTAATTAATTATGCTTCAAGGATAAAATTAGCAAAGCAGTTCCTTTTACGTCCTACGAAACATCACTCACGTTTCTAGTACTATTTGTGCTCATGAAACTAATTTTAGTACTATATGGATCATTAACTCTAATTTTTTTACCTCTCTCCGATGTGATTTGGTTATTGATATGTTCTCATATGATATTATGTGTATTTATTATCGTATATGTGTATTATGGAAAATTAATTTATGTGGGATAATTATTCTAGGGAAAAGTACACAAAACGTACATGTGATTTGGACCATTTTCAGATAAAGACATGTGTTTGATTTTCTAATAAAGTGGTGCATGTGTTTCAATTCTGTTATCATAGCAGGGGCATGGCGTCTAACGACGTTAGAAAAATTAACCCCGGTTTTAAAAAGTCTCCGAAAAATTAAAAGAAAAATACTGGGAGATGCGTCTCGTCAAGGAGATCAACAAACTATCTTTATTTTTTTGTTTCCATCCACCATATCTCTAGAAAGTCCACCAGAAAGTTCATATTAGCGAATTTGTTTTTAAAAGATAATCCAAACAGAGCTGAAAAATCCAAAGAGAATGATAGTTTGTTGATCTCCTTGATGAGGCGCACCTCCCAGTATTTTTCTTTTAATTTTTCGGAGATTTTTTAAAATCAGAGTTAATTTTTCTAACAGCGTTAGATGCCATGCCCCTGCTATGATAACGGAATTGAAACACATGCCCCACTTTGTTAGAAAATGAAACACATGCCCCTATCTGAAAATGACTCAAATCACATATACGTTTTCTGTACTTATCCCATTATTCTATTATAGAATAGTATATTTTTTGGTAAAATGCCAACTATATTAATGTAATTGGTCATTCGTCAATTGGCTTACAACAAAATGGGGTGGTAAATAAAAAATTCTAACTCATTCATACACAAAACCAACCTTTTTAACCAGAACATGAACAACTTGATCGTTGACTTACACATCAACATTTTCTTCATCTTTTAGAAG